TTAGGGTAGAGGTTGGAGTTAAAACGTCAGACGTGAATCGTTCCCACTCATACCTCAATTTCTGAACGGAATACTTGATCACTGAGCGAGCGGTCACAGCGCGGTCAATTTTGAACCTTTCAAATGTTGCTACTTCTTTGGTGAGATTTAGTATAATGGCAGGAAAGGTACGGAAAATGGCTTTGGATTGATGAAAATTCCCTTTCCCGTTCCCCCTTTTGAAGCTGTCACTCAGCCATTGGAGCCTCGTCGGTCATATTGACTTTTACCACTGAAAAAGTAATGCCTCTGTCAGCAGGTTATGCCATACTGCGACCATACTCTTTGCTAGGCGTGGAAGACCTGGCTTGGCAACGATACTAGTAAGGAATTGGGTAAGGAGGATTGAGTGCATTGGTTAAAGAGATAGTCTGTTAGGCGCAGGTATGGGTTCAAGTCCCGTATGATCGTGGGAACAAGCGTTTTTTTCCCATTGCTCACCATCCCTCTCTTGGCTTTCGCTTTGTGTACTGCGCCGTAAACCAGTAGCCAACAAAAGTTACTTTCTAGTAAGTAGTAGTCGTCGCTCCGTGTAAAATTTGTAAGTTGAATAACGTTATCAGAACCAACCTATCTTTTTGCCTTTAGTCTGCCTACTCACCAGATTAATGCTAATCATTCCAATACGCTCTTGCTAGATGCCAGATGTCTCGACTGAGTTATGTATCCCTCCGGGCCTGTTGCATTCTACTTCGTGGCATTGACATTTCAGAGCATCTATTCCTTAAATTTCCTGCGATCTTTTGAGAGTCATGGCTGTTTCTTTTTTTTTACTCTTTGAAAAGCCTTATACGAGACTTACCATTACTGGCATACTTACAGCTTGAGTATCTATGTATTTGACTCTCTATTATTCTAATTATTGCTGCTATTTTCTTATGCAACGTATATGACATGTACCTGACCATCACCATCACCTGATTCCTTTTCGATAACGCCCACAGCTCGGTCTAGGAAAGGTCTGTTCGTAAGTTGCTTCTTGCGTGACTCTGTCAGAAAGTTCCCCGTTCCATTTGCTACTGTCCTGGATTCTTCTGTGGAATGAATCAGCCTTGTAATTTTCATCGATGTTGGACGTATAAGCCAAGGATAATCGGATAATCCTTGCTAAATTCCAGATTGAAGGGGTTTGAGTAGAGATAAAATGAGATTATCAGAAACCCTACTCATCCAGTGTCGTTCGTTTTCGATTTTCCCATCGTCTCACTTTTTCTCGAGCTACCCATCTCCATTCGTCATCAACTTTACAATTTGGTACGATTTTTTGTTTTCGGCCCTTAATCAGGTAACGGGCAATAAAAAGGCATATTATTACAATCGGCTTTATTTTTCGCGCAGATGCAAATTAATTGGTTTAAAATAGGGGAAAAAAGTAGTTGCAAGGTTACTGACGTATGACGTATGTCACGACGATGTCTTTTGTACAATCACATACGAGGCGTAGAAACAAAATGAAGAATTCACTAATCTAGTCAATTAGTTGAGCTTTTTACAATCCAAAAACAATTCTGAGCTCAACATCGGTAAACAATACAAATTAACAACTATTCTTGATTACTAGTTCATTTTTGAGTAGGCTGCAGATGTCATACGGTAGGCGGCGTGCCCTTTACCGTCATCGACATCGTAGTCATGGTGATAATAAGTTTTTCCCAGTAAATTTGATTTCCTCGTTCATTTATTTCAATTTCCACCTTCACGTAATTCCAGCTTCTGAAAATATCGTCGACTAGGAATAAAGGTGTTATGGGAATGTGACCGTTTTACCGAGACTGCTCGCAATCTTTTTATACTTTATTCCCTGTTTGAAGTTTGTTTTCGAAGCTCCTATTAGGTCTACATCTTTCCTTTTCCCATCTTTCCTATGGGCTCGATCCATCTCGGTATGGGTGTTACTTGTAGATTGTATCTGAATGGCGCTGGAACCCAATTACGCTCTGGGTGAACCGTGTGCCGCCGAAGTAGCGGAAACCGTGTATGAAGGTGAAGACAAAGGCGTCATGGTTTTGACAATCATTTAACGGAACCTAAGAAATTTTTAACTCAACCTTCTGCGTCCATTCCGCAGCCCTCCCTTCCCCAAGAGGGGCTTTTCTGGAAGTTCAGTGGGTGTGAGCCTTTAATCGAGTGAAATATAAGGGGATTATACCGGGTGGACCCATTTTCGGGGCGTCACACTTGGCTCCAACTTTACTTCGTCCTTTCAGTACTCTCCCATTGAGTGATGTTTCGAGCATGCCAAGCTCATAGAAGACCTGAAGGTACCTAAAAAACTGGTAAAGGGTGGTTGGCAAGGGGTTCGGGTCGATGAAAAAGACGTTGACCGGCTACTAACTGCTAAATTCGGGTTGTATTCATCCATTGATGGCAATGCCCTTCCAGAGAGCCCTTCAAGAATCAGAATTTAGCTCATCCGTGACTACGGACATGAGCCCGACTGGCTCCTTGCCAAAGACAACTCGAATCAATGCGGTCGTCAGGCAGTCTGCACCCTCTGGCTGTGCCCATAGTTCATCGCGGCCAGCAACGGACACGACGAGCACTGCCCAGTGGAGCACGAGCTCACTTTACACGATCCCTTTCCGGTCACCAATTACCAATATGCTCTTTGGATATCCACTATTTATACATCCCGTCAATGCCGCATACAGTCATCAGGAAATCGTGCTAAGACCTTATGGACAATTAAAGTCGATTTAAATTCGTCCATCCTATGCATAACTTTTTTCATTGATTACCACAAAACAAATATTTTCTTTTCCCTTCTGATATCATGGTGTTTGCGTTATATGGTACTTCATCTATTAACTTTTAGATTCCAAGAAGGCTACAAAAATTGTCTAAAGCACCTGTTTTTCTGATAGTCACTCGAGAAAAAGTTATGAGCAAATTTAAGGCGCTGAACATGGACAGAATCAATTTATCATGAAAAATAATGAATTTCTAAGATAAAAGTCTAGAAATCCCTCAATTTCATAGCAAACGTTTATGCTCGCGATCTCTCCAGCCGAACGTGGTTTTTTCTGATGCCTTTTAATCTAGGAAAATTCAGTTTAGAGTTAGTTTTCGGAAAATCTCCCAAATTTCTGTATAAAAAGGCTGCAGAAGTTTGCTGCTGGCCAGTAAAAGACGTCAATTATATAACTGCTGGTAGGATGCACGCGTTACTAATGATCACACGCCTCTTTTGTTGTCAGCAGTTAAATTTTCAATATAATTCACCCCTTTTGGTATAGTTCTTATTCATTTTCTGACTTTTATACGCTCAATGATTCGAAGAGGGCAGGATCTATTTTTTCTGCATGTGCTCCTCTACATCACTGTCTTTTCAAGCTCGAAAACGATTGGATTCAACTTTCTTTTTGTACTTTTGAAAAACTTACAATTGTAAGAAGTTATAGTTATGTGCTTATTTGGTCAGTGAGCATACGAAGTTCAAGGAACTTCCGCATTAGGTTCTAAAAACGGACGTACCCTGTCTTTTTATTTGAAAATTGGAAAAGGAAACTGTTTTCGAAATCGATAAATCTATTTAATATTACTTAATCGTTCTCATTCACTCAGATATTGNAAAACTTACAATTGTAAGAAGTTATAGTTATGTGCTTATTTGGTCAGTGAGCATACGAAGTTCAAGGGACTTCCAAATTAGGTTCTAAGAACGGACGTACCCTGTCTTTTTATTTAGAAATTGGAAAAGGAAACTGTTTTCGAAATCGATAAATCTATTTAATATTACTTAATCGTTCTCATTCACTCAGATATTGTGTCAAGGAGTACAATAAAGTAGTCTAACAACGGGACGGTCAGTGATATACGGTAGAAGAATAAGATTTATGGGTTTCCTCTAATTTTTCGGTGTTTTTCGGTGGACTGCGGTATCGTTTGGTAGTTGCTATAGTGAATAGGACCCATTTATGCTAGTCTTTGCTCTGTGCCATTTTCTTTGTACCCCTTTCTCAACCTGGAAATGGCCCTCGTTACTTCTCAATGGGCGCGCTATGAAACGAATTTACTTGCCCCTCCTGCCCGCACCCCAATGAGCGGATGGTGGTTTCTTTTGAAGTTTGACCTTATGATGATGTAGAAGTTTCGGCGATGTTGTATTACGTGGTGTGGTGGTGGTATATGTTAATCAGATGTAAATATTGCTCGCCAACTGCTGTGAATAAGTCCTCAAAGCGCTAACACAATTCGTTTCGCGGCGATGATTGAGGTGGTTTCTTTTTTTCTATTCAAGTTTTTTTTCAAATACAATTAATATTAAAGCAGATAATAATAAAATTAAATTAATTAATAAAATAAAAGGGATATTAATTCATTAGTAAGCTTATGTTTCCGCTCGGCCTAGTTCCCCGAAATCCGTACTTCTAGTTACGAGCAGTTGGTGTCACAATCCTGAGAGTTTGAGGAATGGAATGGCGGTATCCAGAAATTCAGTTGCTTATGCAAATTACTGAAAAATTTACGAGCGGTTCGTGTCGCGGCTTCTACTCGAATATTTTACTCACAACGGTCCACCAGTCACCGGAATTCTCTATTCACTCGGGAATAGAAGTGTGATTCTTTTCTGTTGACAGACTTCTCGGACCTTTTCGAGCAATATTTGTTCACGGTCAATTCACTGTTGCCAATTTCTTCCGACAACTTTCTCTGAATTAAAAGTGTGCTTCAGCTCACGGTAGAATAAACATGCATCCATGCATTTATGAACATTTACCAGCTTCAACTCTGGCCCTTCCTTATCGATTCACGTTATACTTCTCCTATTTTTTAAGAGAAAATAGCGGATCTTCAGTTATATACTACAGAGGAGCTAGTAATTGCTGTACATAGAACGAGAACGAATTCATTTAGAGATCATTCCACGTCTTCAGTTCTCAAACTGAATTTCCAGATTTGGGATAATGAACTGCTACGAGAATTTATGATACCATTAAACGCATCGCATCCGCTGCAGAATGGGCAAACACCGTCTACGATGGCCGCATTCAGTACTGATCACTTTAGCACCACGAATTCGTCGTGGAACAGTAATCAGGTACGTCTTTTCTTTTTCTTACTAGTGTCTCTATTACTCTGGCATTTTTGTTGAAATTATGCTAACTGAAGGGAGGTTGTGCCGAATTTGCTAGATCCGTTCGCTGAGTTCATACTCTGTTGTAATTTTTAGGTAGCAGGTATGACTGAATGCATTATTTGGCGTCAGATTCTTTTGAAAAGCGCCATTTTGAATAGGAATCCATAGAGCCAGTCGATGACCAACTTTGCTTCCGATCTTGGCGTGAATTTTTACTTGTAAGAATTGATTTGAACCTACCCAAGACTAAGCTTTATGGGCTGATCTAGACCTCTTCACCTTCTACACGGCCTAAAAACTGAAAAACCCGTGAAGTTTTTTCAACGAAACTTTGTTTTTTTCTTGACAATTCGAATAGGTCTCGTACTTGAGTATGCTTCAAAGACTAGGAGCTTTTTCAGGAAATTGCCCGTCTGCTATATTCTGCCCCGAATCATCCGGAATGGATAACTCAACAAGTGGCCATCCGACCTCAGAGCGGGTATCAATTTGTTTTAGTTTCATTGTAATCTTCCTGTGTCCTTTTTTCCTTCCTCATGAAAGTTTGTTTCATAGTCTGCATGCACTGTTTTTCAGCGCTCAGTACATGTTTTGTCGATTTGATGGTTATTGGTTCAAGATGGATGGTTATGAATGGAAGAAACGCCGCGAAGGAAAAGTAATACGGGAAGACCATATGAAGTTGAAGGTGATTTATCATTCTGCTACTATTCAATCTAGTCTTAGATGGTGTTGGACATTGTATTTTTTCTCCCACACGGACGACAGGTCCGGTGTGGCATTTATTACTTCATTTTCATTAACTGAATGGCTCCCCTATCTTTTTTTTGGTTCTTATTCTGCCGAAAAAAGGCAATACTATGAGGAATTAGGATAAATTCATCAAATTTATGGTGTAGTTTACTTTTTAGGTTCTGGAAGTGTTATTTTATTGTGGTCGCCCTTTTGGGGTCGTTCTTTGATTCTGTTCTAGCTCTTTTGTTGGCAACGACTGATAACAATGCCCTTTATAGTGATTACTAGCGAGACGGCCTAATTACAAGTTTCTTCTTTACCCTTTTCCTTTTCCTTTGTATATTTATTTTTGTTACCTAGAATCTGAGTCGAACCGTCCCGTGTGCGAAGTTCGCCAGGTTGCAATCGATTATAATGATTTGCATGTTGTTCTCTTTATTATTCCTGCTTATTGAACGACAGCTAAGTGTGGTCGCATGAGAGATTTCTTTTTGCAAATTTCCCTAACGGGTAATGGAACGACCTCTCATTTTCCTCTTAGGTAGTATAAAGGCCTCTCAATTTCTGCTCAATTTCACTCGAACGAGTATTTGCGATTGAACTCTTTGGACTTTCAAAGGAAGACAAAGAAAGTTTGCTAAAACTTTGTGGTTGTTACAGGTGAATAAGCAAGAAATCATATCTGCAAATTATGCGCACTCTTCTGTCGTTCCAACGTTCCATAGAAGAGTTTATTGGCTAACAAACGTAAGTTTTTTATAATCTTTCCGCTAATTTTCAGGCCACTTCCTTTTTTAGCTTTTCAAGGAAGGAATTTGCTTAATCTGGCCGAGAATTTTGATACTGTCGTTACATTCGCAATATCACATGGTGTCGGGGATTTTCCGAGAAACCGTCAGTCGTGTTAATCTCAAGGGATTTGAATATGTTTTATCCAATATGAATAACCCTGAAGGAAATCCGAGAGTCTCTCTTGCCTTTTTTGCACAAAAAGGCAAGGGCTTGACGTTGATGGACTGCGGCTTTGGGTGCGCAGCACAATCGATTTAAAATCGAAATTGCGGTGAGCTGCTGAGAATCATCAGAGTAAATCCTTTCATCTTGACAGATGGTCTTTAGGACTTAGAAAAATCTGACATTCAAGGGGTTGCTTTCAAAACTATTTCGTTGGAATGGTGTGATTATCATTAATATTGGGATTCTAGAACCCCGATTACGCTCTTGTACATTACCTTAACACTGAAACGGAACCGAACACCAAGAACATCATGGACAAGATCCTGGCATGTATCAAGTTGAACAGTTTGAATCTTGGACAACAGCAACTCCTAGATCAGATTTCTCCCATTTGTGAGTTATATCACCTTTTGCCTGTTTTTCCAGCTCAAATTCAACCTGACCGATCGATAAAAATGTTGTTTTCGTTCAAACGCAGCGAGGTCAAATCACTTATTTTCTTACGTGGGTAGATGAGGATTCCAATGAATTGCCAATCTATTTTTACTCACTTCTGCCATTTTTACCTCACTGAAATAACTCATTTCGCTTTAATTAGACATGTTTTTCACGTCATCGAGTGTAGGTCGGAGACTAGACTAACTGTGAGTTGGATTCAAAACTTTATTAAGGTCATCCCAGAAGCATTTCGAGCTGGTACTCATTTGCCATGAACCTAGCCGACTCATGAGGACAGCATGTAGGAAATTATTAGGTTATGGTCGTGTCTCGCTGTATGTTGAGGGATAGTCGTAGAAGACTGAGATGTTCACTTTATCGTCGTGCATCTTAATTGACATATTGCACTAGGACTGTGACATAAAAGCTGTCGATAGCTCTACTGTTTTTCTCTATCTCTAGTTGTACTTTTCAGATGCCAATATGTTAAACCAACAAGATATTGCATGCATCTGTGAGAAATTGGGTAGTATTTTGCGAGGTCCTCCGTCCAATAACAAGGATGAGCATGAGGGGAAGGTGAGCATTTTACTGTAACTCATTTTGCAGTTTAAAAGGTTCATGCGAACTCAGCAACTCAGCGATTTCTTTTCTGAAATAGGGTTATATGGTACGATATATACGATCCGGAATTCCCAAATTTTCCGACTCATTCATTCTGTTGAGGCTCGATAAATTAGCGGCATTCTGAAGAAAATTACCTGAAGATGCATGGCAGCAATTAGAAAAAACTGCTTTTTGGGTGGTACTAAAAAAGTAATCTTGCTATTTTCTAAAAGTAGCAGAAGCAAGGAGTCATTTCGTCAATACATTTGGATGGATACGACTTTGAGCTCGTCACAATTCTCGCTTTGGGGAGGGAAAGTTGTACTGTCTTGGGTTTCCTAAGCAACTTGTGGGTGAAGGTTCTGTTGCGATGCGATGCACTTCGAATCAATGAAACAGTCCCTCTTCCAAAAAGAGTTTTCTCGAATGCTGCCAAAGTTCTCGTGTCACTGATATACGAGGAGATGGGCTGTTTGCATAGTTGTTAGTAAGATTGTTATCAGTAGCTGCATATAAATTAAAGTACAAAGATGACAAGACCCACTGTTCCCTTTTGTAGCCACTGCTAGGATCTCACACAGCAGTCACAACTCCACAAAGTCAGCCTGTATCGAGTTACGGGTCTTCACATCAACTGGAGAGACGGAATTCGTGCAGCTCAGCCTTCCGCCCTGGTTTATCGTCATTGATTTTGCGTAGGCAGCCGTCAACTTTCAGTGATTCAGTGGACGTCAGTTATGGTGGTGAGTTTTTCGACATTTTAGTCGAGGTTCCTTTCATGTTGCAAAAACCTGCCTAACGGTCCCGCTGTCGTTAAAGGTGCACCGGCTTTGAACAATATGGTGGACGGCATGCCAGTTAGAGAAACCCTCACTGGTTACTCAGCTGATGGACGTTCGCATTCCGGTGAGACGCAGCGCAGCAGTAATCAGGATGAGGATATGGTAAGCTGTTTCATAGCACATAGATGGCCGATGTTTCTCGTCCATAAAGTTGCCATTCTTTTTGAGCGGGGTTTGAAATAAGTCATGTTGTTTGGTATGAGTCATTTTTTCCATTTCTTATTTCCATTCTTCTTTCGCTTCTTCTCTTTCGTCATCGTTTGGCCTCGGGGGCTGTATTGGAAATACGAAATCAGGGCAAGCTCTGTTTGGAATCATTGAATCCCTTCACAAGAATTGCTTAGTTTCACATCCCACCTGGGACCTATGGATGCTTGTCCTTATTAGGATACTAAGATTTTCAGTGTCATATGTAGATTTGTACATGTGGTTCTTCAATTCTTCCAGTCGATAAGCCTTCAACCATCTCAGCCTGCTTCGCATTCATCAAATGTGCAAGATAATCAGCCATCCACGTGTCTTACACCGATCACAGATATCACACCTAATACTGGATGCGTGAAGGTTTGTGAATTTTTTCTGCTTTTTCTCATTTTTTCTTCGCGTTTGCCTCTCTTTGTATGATTACTTTTTGAATATCGAAAAAAATTCTGATCCGGAGGTTACCGTCAGAAATCAAGCGCAGTCGCGTTGCCGTTTTCTTTATTGTCCTTTGCACCGTTCTTATGCGTGTCGCCTTCAGGGTGGCACAAAAGTGTTGGTGATTGGAGGATGGTACATGAAGGGTCACGATTATACTGTAATGTTCGGAGAACGACGAATACCAGCAAGATTGATACAAGTCGGAGTACTCTCGGTTATAGTACCGCCAGGTTAGTGCTACGATATTTTACCATTTATCATCAAATTATCGTTACATACTTTATTCGCAATAAATCGGTAAACACATCCAGCATATTCAGCCTTCAACTAATATCTATTGTTTTGCTTATTTGAATACCCTTTTTCCGGAAAAGCATACAGGTTCAAACCCTCATTAGCCCTTTTGAAGCAGTTTTCACGTTATGCCTAATAATTTGGGATTTTGCACTGAATTGAAACTGATTGCACTTAAGCAGTTAATTGGATGGGAAGGGCTGATTATTGAGAATGCATGGGAGAAAATAAACTCACTTCGGGGGAAGGTGCCAACTTTGCTGGTGAATAGACTGAAAAAAATTCGCGTCCTCCCGCCTGATTCTTTGATTCAGTGTTCTCCTCTCGACAGAACTAGTTAGCTATTTTGTTGCACTAATCGTGTATATGGGAGTTATAAATATACCTTTTCCACGTTCAGCTTCCATGAGTGGTTCCGTTCCTGTTCGAGTCCTGTGCAACGGCCAAGTAATTTCATCGGGTAGCGAGTTTACATATGAAGAGGAGCAGGATGAACTGAGCATATCAGCACTTCGACAATGCATGGTCGATCGGCTTCAGATAGTTGTACATGCATTTGGAGCAATGGATAAGCTAGAAGTAGGGCATATCTCCTTCTTTGTGGAGTTCCTAGTATTGCGCATTGGTATTTTTCATTTTTTTACAGTGGGTGGCATCCATCGATGAAGATTCTGTGCTGTCACTGTTGCGAAGTTTGGCTGGACGACGTTTGTCAATACCATCGCTCCTCTCTGCCCATCCAACTCTTCCTTCCAGGACGATTCTACACATAGCAGCAGCCTTAGATTACCATAGAGTGGTAGAGCACGTTTTAGCGTGGAGGTAAGGATTATCTTGGTTGATTGACCGGTGCTACTCCCATTATCAATTTATACTTGGGCCGTCCTTTTATGTTTATCCTTATGATATTCCAATAATAATTGACAATTTCCAGACGCAATTTACCGTTCAGTCGTGAGTTTGATCCATTAGCTCGGGACGGTGAGGGTCGAACACCCCTTCATATGGCTGTTGCTGCTGGACATGTGGCTTCCGCGAGGTTCGTTTTCTTTTCTTTCATTACACTTATCAATTTGATACCGGACGGGACCTCATTTTTAAAAAGTCTATTCCTCTTCATTCCCTTTTTTAGGTTTTTTTTNTTTTTTTTGGCAGGATAAGGTACCCTTGACCAATTTCTTACCAGTTCTCCTGTGCTGCCGTGAAATACAGTGCCTACTATATTTGCAATCTTCAGGGTACTGGTTCGAGCTTGTCGAACGACGGTTGATGTATTAGACGACCGTGGAAGGACCCCGTGTGATCTCAGTTGTGATGAACAAATGATGCGACTTACGGCTCGCACAGGCGAACGAGACTCTGATGAGCAACGGGCGCTTCCTAAGAGTGAGTTGGATTATATTTCTACGGAAGACATTACAACTCTTGTTTCCAAATATTTACCTACTATCCAATATGGAACGATTATTTCTTCAATACAGATGCGGAGGACGTCGAACATGTGACATCGACAGCGTTGTGGGTGCTCACCAATGGGGAAACGGTCACTGACGAACATCTTCTGAGGGACCGGCACCCCACTGAAGGAGAGGTTAGTTGCGGATGTTTTCTATCAGGCCACTTTGCTTTCCTCGTCGCTTGATATTGTTCGGAACCTGCTCCAATAATGTCCATAAATACGAGCTAGTTAAAGAGATAGTAGAAGACTAGATTAGGCGCTATCCTGATGAATAAACAGGGTATAGTTTTTCGGTGTGCCCCACACACCTTACTGGCATGCGCCATCTATCTAACTATTTGCGGGATCGACCAATCCATCCTTCTATCCTCCCAGAGAAGTTCGATGACCAATCGGCCTACCCGGAGGAGTGAAGTTTTGGGTCGGTTTGTTTTGGTTTTTTTTGGCGTCCAGGATTTCCTCTGTTCATGTATGCGATAGACCACTGGCATCGTTCCACTTCTCTTACTATATTCGGCCTCTTCTTAAGAGCTCTTTCAGGATTCATGTTCATCAGTTCTTAGCGATGATCACCACCTTGGTCGACCTGGCCCTAGCGGGGTGAGTTCGAATCAGGAATAAAGACTCGAATGGAATTTTTAGAGGTGTTTTTCGCTCGTTTGTCAAAAGTCCATTTAAGGCAAGGTGGTGTGATGAACCACTTCATGTCGAGATATCAATGGATACAGATGTTCATGTGCCAGATTCTCCGAAAATGGCCGATCTATTCGAGGCTGTAACCAGGTTTGTTTGTGATTTTGACCGAATTGTTGTGTCTTTTCCAAGGGCGTGTGAAAACTTTGAGCTTCGAAGTACTTGTGATTCATGCGTTCCTACCTGGAGTCTGCCTGAGGAGAATGGCTGCAGATGGGCGAATGTTTGAGTAGTCCAAAGAACGAAATGTGATCTGACTCATTAGAATCCTAAAGACATTGTACTGCGTATGAACTAGAAAGTAATACGCCAAGCTGACCCAGAATCTCAGCAGCTCTTTTTGAGCCAGAGCCACTCCTTGACCGCAAAAAACAAGTCCTTGACCCTGGCTTCAAGGATTACTTACAAGTTTTCAACGGTTGTGTTACTTCCTGTTGCTCTAATTTACTGAGAAAACTGGATTGCTCTGGAACGTGGAAAAGTCGAGTATCGCATTTATTGAAATTTCTAATACTAATTCGAGAAGAAAGGGCGACTATTTCCAGCCCTGGAATGATGCTAAACGATGGTGTCCGTGCGAAGATGGCCTTACTGGCTCAGCAAATCATCGATGCATTGCCGGATCGCATAAAGGTATTCTATCAATTACTTGGCCTCCATCTTTCTAAAGTATTTTCGACTAATAGTTGTCCGACTTCGTCGTTGTTTCAGAATGATGCTAATCCCCTTCTTGATGAGGAATCAATGTCGGCTGATGTCAGTGCACAGTCATCATTCGCATATCCTGATAACAATCCCTTCCTCTCTCACCTCACTCATGACTGCCCAGCTGATTGGGAATTTCAGCAGTATTTCGCCAATAATCATTATCAGTCAGTTTACTCATCAACTTGTTTAATTTACCCATTTCCTTGGCTTGTTCAGCATTTACCCATCCCCTTGAACTGTTCAGAGCAAACTATTACTTCTTGGGAAGAAACGCTTAGGGAAACGTATCGGAGAAAAGCCACTTTGCTGCACTTTGCTTTAGACATCATATTTGTCGATAGCAACATCTGGCCGAACCAGCTGTTTAGCTCGAACGATCTTCAGCACCTTTCTAAACCAAAGGCTTCTTCTGTTTAAGTCAAATCCCGGTCGGAATATCGATTATTTCGGCCACTACTTGTTAAACTGATAAATTCCCAAAGATCCCCGCGACTCCGAAAAGTATAGATGCGCTGATCCCAAAAATATAAACCTTGATCGACCTTTTTTCCTTTCTTTTTGTTCTGCGACAGGTGCTTAGTTGAAGCGAAGGAAGCTATCCTGTTTTTATGGAATGTTGCCAGGCATCCGATGAAGCCGAAAATTGTAGACTTGATTGATGGCAAATATTCGATTGTATTTTTTTGCACACTATCTATTTCTATCCGGATTTCCGGCTTCGACTGACCTCAAGTGTTCAATAATGTACTGCACCGCGAGTGATTCCTTTTTCTAGAGGAAAACAGCCTCCCTCATTGGAGTGCGGATAACAAGAAAGCGTTGCACGTTCGAAGTCTTTTCAATGAGCTGTCTAAAATTCTTCACATTGAAGTCGATCCCTACAAATCGACTCTATTTTTCATCCTGTAACACTTTAGTTAGGTTTTGTGTGAAGCTATATTTTTCAGGTTTCCTACGGAGAAGCCTGCGGAGGATGTCCTTTCCTCCTTTTCTCGACAACCTTCCAGCCCATCCTTCGATCATAATCATTTGTACCCGAATAAAGTGCGTTCGCTAATACTTCCAGTGTCTTCCATGTTTCACAGTTTTTCAATCTTGTTTGGAACATTTTAGGGTGCAAATAGCTCCTACGGTTCGTCACGGGATAATACCTTAGAGAGTACTAGCTTTGATTTTGATAAGTTAGTTTATTTATTGAGTTAATCAACTGAAATCAATGAGTAGCAAATTTTTCTTCAGAGATCTCGGTGAATTTTTCAACATGCGAGTCGATGAAGAAGAGGATCCAATACGGCAACGGTTGGGTGGTCTGAAATTGTCAGGTACGAATGTGCAGTAGTTTAGAAGTTTTAAAATAGTCAGAGATTCAGAAGTACAGAAGATAACCGGGTGCAGAGTTATGCTCGGACAGTATGATTGTTCGTTTGTTTCGCAGTTTTGATATAAACAGCTCTAGACTTTTACTTAGAGGGGTTTTACCCTTCTTATCTCAGGACACCCTTATTATTCCCAAAAACCTGGAAAAGCCGCCTTTGGTGCTTTTCAGAAGTAGTGAGTACAAAGTGGCAAATGTGAAAAGGACGGTGAGCTCAACTGCTCCCCTATTGCCTGGCTGCCTACCGTATCCATTCTACCGTACCCCCTGTATTATACTGTACTATACCGTAAAATCACCGTAACCTTCGACCTATCAGGGATTGGAGGTTACGGTACTCTCACGGTATGCTACAGTACAAATATGGTGTTACAGTATGCTATAGTACAATACGGTGTTACGGTATGTTACAATACAAATATGGTATTACGGTTGTCAACGGATGAGCGCACGGTTGGGCTTATTAGATTTGATTTGAGGCTCCGTCTTAGAGGCGTTTGGGTTGAAACAGTTGAAAATCCAGAAAATTTCGTTTTTTTCATTTTTGTCATTCGAAAAAACCAATATTTCCACAAAAGGCGCAGCTACAGTTCGCGCTGGTTGACGATGAAATCCGGATGGAGGAGCTCATATCCGGCTGGATTTTGTTGAGCGTAGTGATATTAGTCCAGTAGTGCCGGCGGAATAAGAATGATAAAAACGTGATTTTAATTGATTAGCCACGCAAGCTATGGTATGAACAAGCCGTTCATTTTTTCCTTCTTGACGGGAGAGCGGAATTCATTTATTATGTTAGGAAAAACTTCACCAACACTACTAATTGTTTCCTTTTGTTTCCATGTAATCCTCAATTTCTGCTAATACATAATACTGTTCAAGTAAAGCCATATGCTCATATTAAACAATACTGAAAATTACTGTGAAATAGGTAATTCAGTAGCAGAGGATAAGTCGAAAACCTGAGAGAAAACCGAACAGAAAAGCGCCCATGTTACCCGAAGCCGTCGATGATCATCGGGAAGGAAACGTGATCCGTCACGGTTTGACGTAATCGGGTGAAGAAAACTGCTTGGCAAACACTTAAGTCTTTACAAAAAGAGGAAAGATCGGATTTTCGAGATGATGGCGAGCTCAAAGCTCGATCACATCCGGCGAGTGCCTGTAAAGTTGTTTTGAATCCGAATTATTTGAATTTTTCGGAAAATTCGAGATATCAAATGCATGGCCGGAAAGTCTGTTTGAGTCAGAACGGGATAAGAGCTCAAAAGATTCTTGAGCTTTGATGGATCTCCTAAACTATTCAATTACATATGTGATTTTTTTTCATTTTCGCTCGCAAAAGAGATTTGACGCCATAGATTACACTCTTTACATGTGAAAAACATAAACAATAAATTGTACATTACAAGCACCTCAAGACCTCGAGGCTGATGGTTCTAGTTAATCACATGAGGATCAGTCTCACATCATGAGCGGATACGACGAATGAGTCCAGTGAACCGAACATTGTCATAGTCATCAGATATCATTTTCTTTGCCTGGAAGATTTTATATTTCAATTGTTATCATGAAGCATAGCACGTTTTCAGTAGATTGGCGTAAGGGAGTTGAGCTTGAAATGTCTCTTGAAAGTTGAAATAATAATTAAATAACTAGATAATCATATTTACAAAAACAACAGATCCATCGCTGTTTGAGAATACTTATAAGATGCTTGGAAAGGCAATGAAAGAAAGTTTGTGTGGGATAATATTCAAGAGTTCGCGATTTGAAAATCATACGTAGATAGAGGGAAAAGAAAGGCTGGTCAATTGGTCACTTTGTTGCGAAGATTCTTGCACTTGCTTGTTCTATTCAGAAGAAGTGATAGTCAGGTGCTTGGAAATTCCAAATGTCTTAGCATTCCTGGGGTCGGTGATCGTTTCTACACCGGATGTGCGTCAATCGGCTATTTTTATCTCATTAAACAGTCAGCTGGCGGCGACTTGAGCATATCCAACGTGAACTGCGTCACTGGGTACGAGTTTTCGCCAGCCACGAAGGACTCGAACAGTCCGTAGAGTGTGCACTGTTTGTTCTGAGTGCGTTTATTGCTTACAGCATGACGGAGTGTGTGAGAGGCAGCAGGAGATTCACAGATGACTTGAACCATGCTGAATCACAGTATGCCGGGAGGAATTGTTTACTGGCAGAGTTCAGTTACAATTCAGCTCCGTGGTGTCTTTTGGCTGCCCGCAGGCTTTCCACTTAGGTTTTGTCATCTTCTGATTTCAGGTGTTTTGCATTTTATGTAGGCTGTTAGTATGAAATGTATTCGCCAGTTACAAAATGATTGTGAAGAAGTATTGATAAGAAGTCTCGATCGATCCCGAACTTCCATTGCCGTTTTGCTGAGTAAACGCCTCGAACATCAGCACTGCATAGCTTTGAAGTGACTTTTCCAAACTAACAGCAAATTCGACGGCTTTCTGACGAAACTGCCGTTCGTTTGCATTTTGCTGAGTCGCCTCTTCCCTGAGGTATCCCTGTCCGCACTTACGGGGAACCTTTGTTAAGTCGGTGTTTTTCTGTAGTTCTTTCACTGAAAGAATTTGAGGAGGTGTCAGCAGGCGTCACGATAAAGTGCATGTTAGATAAACTTGCGGATGCCGAAGATAAGTGCACAAAACTCTTCCTCCCAAAACAACCTCATAATCACTGACAGTGAGTATGAAGCTTGGTTAGAATGTTGTCTTGGGAGGAGGTCCTCTTCCGTTCTTGCTTGTGATTGTAGGTACAGGTTGCATAGGCATTCGCAAGCCTCTATGGTCCAAGTGGGATCGTTCGGTTAACAGCGAAGAAATGATTCGGGCAACTTCGATTTTTTAATCGTTTTGGTATTCTCTTTTGTCAGAAAGCCACCGGAGAATATGGTTTGTGTTGGGTTTGTAAACGGGGTCAGGGGAGCATTCCCAGTTCCATCCTACTCGAGGGGTTTGGGAAACATAACGGCAACTGTTTGTTGTGAAACCTTGGCAACTTTCAATAAGACTTGGGCTTCTTTGCCCGTTTTTATATTTTTGAGATAAATAGAACCCGAGGTCATCGCTGAGTAGGGGATTAAAGTCTAGGAATGAATTTCTTCGTTCATCCTAATGATTTCAGTTATGGAGGAATCATAGTGATTATAATTTATCAAGTCCAATGTGCTGAACTTTTCGATTTAAAGGCAGTTTTTCGAATCATGTGATTCCTATGATAAGGTTGTTTATTGTCCCATATTTCCCTGGCTATCATGAGACTACACACTGCACTTCCGACGTACTAATGATTTGCATTGCACTATGAATTGAGGTAGCTATTGCCAAGGTTCATCGATCATATCATTAAATTCCAAGAGGTGATCAGGTCAGACCCACTTAATCTGCCAAGCGCAGCTGATCATCGTTCCATCACCCAGGCGCCTGCAATGAGGAAGCTGTCCCAATGGTGTGGCGACAATTGCGCAATGTTTACGCATTGTTGCGAATATTGACGTTCAGCGATGGATCTCCAAAAGCACTTCGCAGATTAACGCTTTTTTGTTGTTGAGCTACGTCAGAGCTTGGGTGTGAGAGTTGGGTGTTCACTGTGATAAGAGGCTCGGAGGTGGGTTCAGTGGCAGAACTGAAATGTGCCTGCTGTCCAAAAAATCTCTGAAATGTTCAGGAACTTCGTAGCAGCTATGTTAAATTCAACTCTTTTTTATAGTTCTGTTTTCAGTAATTCAGGAATAATTCTCGAATTGATGTTTTATAGTTTTTGCTAAAATTTTGTAATATTTCCACCAATTTTTTTTTGAATTAAACCTCAAAATTGAAAGAACTTCCTTCCTACGGCCATTTTTGGGATTGTGGGACGGTTATTTGGGATTTATAATATTTTGGATTTAGCCTATTATTACTGCAGCTTAACAGAGCCATTACTTAGGCACTTGAGAGAACCTCATTTATTTATTTGTTCTGTGAAATCTTCAAGATAAGCTGGAGAATCTCCTAGGGTGGGCCTAAGTGAAGCGAAATATACTAGTCAGATAGGTCTGCTGGTATAGTAAAGAGAAGATGGCGAACATCGAAGGAGGAACGTGCCGTTCTCCTTTATAACCATGCGGCTCAATGCCTAAGTCATTCCACGACAAGTCATAAAGCTTCTTGACGAGATTCCTCTCTGACACCCGATTCATTCAGGTTGAGTAATACATCTGAAGTGCTCGATGCTCTCTTGGCTCGGCTTTTTGTAGACTTTCGTCTACTGGCCTCTTTTTTTGATGTTTTTTGAATCATAAACCAACCGCAAGAAGCCATTGGGCTAGAACGATACTGGCTGTTGTAATGTACTTGGTGCTCCATAAGAAGTTGGAGCTGGAGTACCTGAAAGTTTTATGGACCAGAGTTCGGTAATATCACAAAAATTGCTCTTCCTACATTCGTAGGGTATTTCAATGGCTCTGGTAGTGAGTTGAAAGTGACTGATAGCTTCTACAGCTTCATTGTAACAGAACCTTATGGTCGCCTCTATGTTCAGGGGCGGTGGAGGATTCCTCATGTTCCTTAATACCCTTTCAAAATCTCGTCGGATTTGAAGTTGCCGCAGAATTAGTTAATCGCTTCCCTTGGAACTTGGTGATTTTGAGGGCGTCGTATCGGCTGGTACGCGTATGACTCAGTCCACTTGCTCAAAAGAGAGTTAGGGTCATATCAAGTCTAATGGCTTCAGACAGCCTTCTGAATTCTTTAATCCATATTCTTACCAATTTGAAGTAGTTCTGATCTTCTTATTTGGTTTAAGAAGATTTCGAGTGGGTTTGTATCCCTTATGGCTGAGAAGTACAATTAATTTCCCTTCCGCATTTCATAGTTCCCCATACTTATGCTAATCATGTTAACGCTCCCAGAATAGGATAAAAAGTGGGCCTAGAAATGGGATTAGCCTCTGGAAGTGCCCACGAAATTTACGCTATACGATGACTACTGAAGTTAGAATTATGAATGGGTCCTAGATAGAGCAAATGTTTTCAGTTGTAGACATAATGTAAAGTGTCCCATTTCTGGTCATCTGACCTTTTTATTTGAATTTAAATCTACGGTCTTTTGAATCTGCTGGACTGCCACAGAAACGAAAAAATGCTTCAGCCAAGTTTTTGAAGACCAAGTAGCTCCAAACTGCTGGTTGACATTCTAAACATTTGAGAAAAAAATATAACTAAGACTTGGCTTCGCGAAAAACTTTGGGATACCCAGCAACCTGCTGAATCTTGCAGTTACAATCACATCATACTTGTTTTCTTTTTGGCTCTTCACTCACTCCCCTTGGTGAACAAGTAAAATTGCGAGCGAAAGTTTTTTGCTCTGTCCCTTTCGGGCAGCAAAACCTAGTTTGAAATATGACACAGCAGGTGTCATTGTCTGCTCTGTTCTGTCGCTAATATGTTGTAATAATGACGGCAGTGCAGATATGTTTTGCACTGCTCTCATTTCTTATATCGCTGAGAATCTTCATTTGAAGAGCTGTCAAAGTCGGAAAGCAAAATGGCCCCTTGTACTTTTGCATGGAGAGGTATCTAGGAAAGCATCTTGGAATCTTTTGAACCTTCGTTTATCAAGTGTTCCGCTTCTGTGGCTTTTCACATTCTCGATGGATCTGTGAACACTAAACAAAATCTTTTTCCTGGTAACAGTTCGCTATGATAAGATATTCAGGGAGTGGACCGGGGTATGTAGCATTGTGCTCTATACGAGACAGCCCTAAGCTGGTTAACTTGGTGCCTCTAATGTCCTGACTGATGGCCCCGGTGAGTCTTTTGGTCACTCGGCAACCTTTTCAAGGCTGTCACCTGACAGCGACAAGGGATTCATCCCCAATCCACCTAATATTGGATAGCCACCTGGCCATTTCTGCTGAGGTATCGTCTGTTCTGTTGGACACTCAGCGGCTGGTTTGTCCTCGCTCCGCTCCTCCAGTGTTTCATCCTTCACTGATTTTACCCACTGTCAGGTCTTTCAATCGCTTTGATTAGAGTAAATGACTAAGTCAGCGTTGCTAGAGACGTCCCCTCTCATAGACTCAGTACCCACCTCCCAGCAACGCCTGTATGACAAATTCGGTCTGCTTGGTCTGTGATGATACCATAACCATTCGGCAGAACTTGTTGTTAATTGAATTGAAAAGTATACTCCCATTCAAATATGAATCACTTGTAGAAAAAAAAGGTTCAACTTTCGTCGAATGACGTCACTAGTATTGTGAAATTCAAGGCTCATTTGTAATTTCTTTCCTTTATATTTTATTGAATTGTTTAATATATCTATATATTACTTGATATCGTATTATAGCCATATCATATCATTCATGCAAAGAAATGTAAACTGCCAGTCAAGAGAAGCGATATCGTTAAGATGCGTCTTGCTCAGGTGTCGATTCAGAATCGATGAAGTGCTTGAAAGAGTTTTTGGCGAGTATATTGGTCTTGAGGCTGACCTATGCTTTGCTCAGCCCCTTTTTTTCTCCTCACTAGGCCTGCTATGTAGTAGTATGCAGTCATTCCCTAGAGGAGCATTACCGATCCCGTTCACTACTAGTTGAGTACCTCCATGTCTTTCGTAGATGGGTGTATTTGTTTATCGAAAGCTCTCGATGAAGGCCCTTCAGAAGGGAAGATAAGAGTGCATTGCTAAGTTATTTGCTTACGAACAAAAACAAAAGTACCCAGGCATCAGACGTTATTGCTTTTATCTGGCAGTAGTGATAAGGAACTATTTTCCGTCTGAACCCTTACTGTTTGCCCTTTGATGTTCACGGTGGCAATGGCAAAAGGTATCTTCGAAACGCACCTGCATAGCCAGTTGTCGTAGTTTTTATGACAAACTAAGAAGAACCCCTGCAATATTTGTTTTTAAAGCTGTCAAAGCAGGGGCTTTAGAGCACACGGGTCATCACCCTCGGCTTCTTACGGCGTTCGTAGATATGAGTTACTGAGTGAATCGGTTGTAATCGTATTTGTCGGGGATTTTTCGATGATTGTGAAGCGATTTAAAGTGAAATC